CCTAGCTCCTCCAGGAGGGAGCTCGACTTGGGCATGGGGTGGGGGAAGAGGCTGGATGAGGATCGCAGGGGCCACGGTTCCTCTTTCTGGATCTTCAGGAATGGTGAGGGCCGCAGGGCGTGGTGGCGCACACCTGTAAGCCAGCGGCAGGAGGATCACCAAGAGTTCAAGGCCCACCTGTGCTACATGGTGAGTTCAAGACCAGCCTGAATGATACATAGGGAGACCCTGTCTCAAACAAAACAAAACAAAACAACGTTTTAAAAAAGCTGTTAAAGTATGGCTTCAGACTGAGCACAATGGTGCTGGCCTGCCATCCCCGCTGCTCAAGAGGCTGAGGCAAGAGGATCCGGGGTTCCAGGGCAGCTTGGGCAACTGAGTGACTTAGCAAGACCTTGTCTCAAAATGAAAAATAAATAAAAAGGGTTGGGAGAGTTGCTCGGAGTTTAGCTAGCACGACTGGGGCCCTGGGTTGTGTCTGCAGCAGGGCAAAAAGCAAAAACTAGAACAACATAGGGGCTTCAGGATCTGTTTGGGAGCAGCTGTGCTGGTCTTGAGGATGGTTTGGCACTGGGCCAAGGGTGAAGGACGTTTGTGGAACACTCATCAGATTGGTGGGGACCAACGGTGGGCGGCACCTGGGGTCCCCAGAGTCAGTCTGGGAGGGCAGCCACTCTGGACCCTCACAGCTCAGGATGTCAAAATACTGGCTGTGTGCATGGTTTGAACTTGTAGTCCCAACTACTCAGGAAGCTGCAGCAGGAGGATCAGTTGAGCCTGGGCAACCTGAACAACATAGCAAGACCCCGCCTCAAAAAAGAAAGAAAAAGGATGACAAATATCACAAAATAAGGAACACGATTAATACAGTTCCTTTTCTGCACAGAACTTCCTGTGGCTCCCCTGTTGCTTAGAGTAGAAGCGAAGTGTTCACCAGGCCCATGAGACCCCACAATGGCACCCACCCCTTCCTCCTGCTTGCTCTCCCACTGCACCCCAGCCCTGGCCATACAATCCTCTGGAAGTGGTGACTACCATGCCCTCACAGGTGCCCCAGGGCCTTTGAACTTGCCATTTTCAATACCAGTTGACACTGCAGGTTGTCCACTTGCTTTGTTCTGCTGGACCTCCTGTTAGTTGTTCTCCCCATTACCAGAGCCCTGTGAAGGCACAGAGCTGCTTCCTCACTTTTCCCAGTGCCTGGAACACGGTAGGTGCCCAACAGACATTTGAAGGAAAAAACCGGAAGTCATTTCCTGAGGACAGATTTGCAGCCTTGTCGAGATCAGGCCCCTTCGCTGTCAGTGGATGGAGTGGGGCCAGGGTTACAGGAGTTTCCACACAGGCTGTCCTCTGGGTGAGCTGTGCAGGGATCGGGAGTGCTTGAGTTTGGGGTGGGAGGTGCAGGCATGCAAGGCCCGGAGGTGTGAAACAGCAGGACATTCAGGAGACTTCCCTCTGCCCACGTGCTCAGGGGAGAAACCTCATGGTCCCTGGGGCGCCTGGCTGCTTCTCACACCCCCACGCTCCCCGCGGCCGGCTCTGCTGCTCACATTTCCCAGGCTCTGACCACCTCCGTCGTGCCAGCATCAGTGGCCCCTTCCCTGGGCCCTGCCCCCAACCTGTCTCTTGCTTGGAAGCCGTGTTTGTCCCTAGGTACCTCATCGATGTCCTAGGCCATCTGACTTGGGTCATATCCTGAGTCCTTATGCCCCACAAAGCCCTCGAAGGCAGACCTACCCTTCAGTGCTTTGTTTTGCTTGGGATGTTTGTTTTGTTTTTGAGACAGAGTCTCCCAGGCTGGCCTTGAGCTCACTGTGTTACCCAGGCTGGCCTCAGACTCTCAGGGACCCTCCTGCCTCAGCCTCCTGAATGCTGGAATTACAGGCAAGTGCCACCACTCCCGGCTTTGATGTCCTACTTTGAATGTGGATGTGCTGCATGATGATCAAACGTGA